TTGTGGGGGTGTGGTCTGCGGGGGTGTGGTCTGCGGGGGTGTGGTCTCAGACGTCGGCAAGAGGGCTGTGGTCTGTGGGGTCAACAAGGGGGGTGTGGTCTGTAGGCCTGTTGTCTGTGACGTCAGGAAGGGGGGCGGTGGCAGAAGAGGTTTGCCTCGTTTCTTAGTGAAGAGAGGTTTGGTTAGCACACGGGGTTTGGTTACTTGTTTTAAGAAATGCTCAGGTAGGTGTTGTGTGTGTTGTGTGTGTTGTGTGGGTTGCGTGTGTTGTGTGTGTTGTGTGTGTTGTGCGTGTTGTGTGGGTTGTGTGTTTTGTGTGTGTTGTGTGTGTTGTGCGTGTTGTGTGTGTTGTGTGGGTTGCGTGTGTTGTGTGTGTTGTGCGGGTTGCGTGTGTTGTGTGTGTTGTGCGTGTTGTGTGTGTTGTGCGTGTTGTGTGTTTTGTGTGTGTTGTGTGTGTTGTGCGTGTTGTGTGGGTTGCGTGTTTTGTGTGTGTTGTGTGTGTTGTGCGTGTTGTGTGGGTTGCGTGTGTTGTGTGTTTTGTGTGCGCCCTTTGTGCTGTGTGTTTTGAGTGTGCTGTGTGTGATGTGTGTGATGTGTGTGTTGTGTGTGTTGTGTGGGTTGTGTGTGATGTGTGTGATGTGTGTGTTGTGTGCGCCCTTTGTGCTGTGTGTTTTGAGTGTGCTGTGTGTGATGTGTGTGATGTGTGTGTTGTGTGTGTTGTGTGGGTTGTGTGTGATGTGTGTGATGTGTGTGTTGTGTGCGCCCTTTGTGCTGTGTGTTTTGAGTGTGCTGTGTGTGATGTGTGTGATGTGTGTGTTGTGTGTGCCCTGTGTGCTGTGTGCTTTGCGTGTGCTGCGTCTGTTGCGTGTGTTGTGAGATAGAAACGGGTCCTTTCTGTGAAAGAGACGACGTCAGTTCGGGATATTTCGGTTTGTCTGGTATCGGAGGATTGGGTAGGCGTGGGGAAGGAGGGGGAAAACGCACACCCTTCTCGAAGAGTTCCGAGGTCAATTCTTCCTCACCACTCGACTGTCCGGGCTGCAGAATAGCCCTTGCAGCTGCTACTCCAATACCTCCACCATGTCGCAGTCCGTCGTCGGTTGGCGCCGCGGCTGTAGATATTCTCCTCTTCGTGTCTACAGAACAGGACTCCCAATCCTGTTTCGGACATGATGTCCTCCTCACCACACTAGCAGGACCGACGTATCCAGCACGCCCAGGTGTCCGGCCAGACACCTGCTGCCTTGCCGTGACCTCAGACCCATCACCGCTGACCACCCGCTCCCCATCACCACCACCGGAGCCCATTGTCAATGTCTGGAGCTCTCCCCCGTCGTCTTGTTCCCTTGTGCTGCCGTGTGGCGTAGAGTTAGCGTGGTCGCCTGCAGGTGGCGCTTCGTGAGAAAGGGACTCTTTCTTTCCTCCTGGTCCTCTCGCAGGGCGACCTCCTGTGACCTCTGTGACCCCTGTGACACCCGTGACCCCTGCGACCCCTCTCTCGGGCAACTCATAGTAGGCGTGGCCTGAGCCAGTGCCGTCTGCTGGAGCTGTGGTGGGCGGGGCGGTCACGTGGGGTCCAGCCATGTCCTGAAGATTGACCGCCCGGCTCCGCTGACGAATGAGGCCACCGTATGGGCTGGGGGTGATGGTCATTGACAGGTAGTCTGGGGACAGTGACCAATGGATGAGAGGACAGATAGCAGTAGGCGGGGATATTAGCCATTAAATGAGAAGATAGCAACAGGCAGAGACATTAGAAAATGAATGACAGGAAAGATAGCAACAGGCAGAGACATTAGAAAATGAATGAGAGGGGAGCAACAATCATAAACATTAGCCAATGAACGAGAAGATAGCAGCTCGCGAAGACATTAGCCAATGAATGAGAGGAAACATAGCAACAGGCATGAAAGCTAGCCAATGAATGAGATGGAAGCTACAGTCATAAACATTAGCCAATTAATGAGAAGATAGAAACTCGCGAAGACATTAACCAATGGATGAGAGGAAAGATAGCAACTCGTGGAGATATTAGCCAATGGATGAGAGGAAAGATAGAAATAGGCGGGGACATTAGCCATTGGATGAGAGGAAAGATAGCAACAGACGGGGACATTAGCCAATGAATGAGAGGAAAGATAGCAACAGGCATGAATACTAGACAACGAATGAGAGGGGAGAAACAATCATAAACATTAGCCAATTAATGAGAAGATAGCAACAGGCGGGGACATTAGCCAATGGATGAAAGGAAAGATAGAAACAGCCGGGGACATTAGCCAATGGATGAGAGGAAAGATAGAAGCAGCGGGGACAGAAGCCAATGGATGAGAGGAACGATAGCAACACGCTGAAAAATTAGCCAATGAATGATAAGACAGATGTTTTAATTTTGATTGGTAATTTTTAGTTCTCATTCTCTATAGGTCCTCAACAGAAGGACCATTTTCACCCTTGACATCAACAAAGGAGGCCTTAAGTGCACTTTAACATTGTAACTGTACCTAATGTGAAACTTACAGAATGAGTTGGAGTTGAGGAAATGTTCAATATAAAATGCTCTCTGCTCGTTATTAATCTTAACCGTGATCTCAGCAGGCAGAGGAAACTTGAGAAAAACTTTGAACAAACGTATATTGGCTGTATGACTACTGTAGTTTGCAATAAGGCGCGATCGTCGGGACTTTTAATGGGTAGGCCTAATGCAAACTAGTGTGTCAAGCTACCAAAAATGAGGACAAAGCTGAAAATGGGTTTGTTTTTAGGGTTTTTTACAGACTATGTAGAGCAAAACTGTTGTGTGGAATTATCTAAAATGAATATCAGACAAATTCCTTTCGACTTCCAAATGTTTTGTACTAATTTGAAAAGCAAAACTTCAGTTTGGAGGAAAATAATTACCAAAACAAGTTGTATAGTTAGTTTTGAATCACCCTGTACTTTTTCTCAAAATGTTTTCTCAAGTAGGAGTTAGAATAATTTTTCAATGGGCTGTATCCCAGTCATTTTTCAAGCTACGGCTCAGATGTTTAAACACAAGCTGCGTCACTTGGTGGAAGTTAAAGCCATTGGAAAATCTCCATTTCGGCCGACATATCACTTAGAGTTGTTTTCCTTTAGACCCACGATGTATTTTAACAGTATCCGCACTCCCTGGGGTCATTTGTACCCCCGGGGTTGTATTCTTCACATTTTAGAATACTTTAGTCTAGTAACATTTTGGTCTGATCTTGAAGAAATTGCTTTAAAGCTGTCTTTTAGAAAATAAGTAGCTGATACCAGTCAATAAAAGATTATGAAGAATCGAGGAGAATTGAAAGGCGCGTTTTTTCAAAAAATAAAAATGTTAAAGTTGTGAAATTCGTGTTTCACATTCCATTATTTGTGGCAACGTTTGCTTTCCATACACTGATCCTGCACTTGCCCTCGAATTTCCGCATTTCTGCGCGCATCAAAACAATGGCAGCCAAGGCGACAGCAGAGTCAAGCCGGTTTAGTATGGCAAACTGGTAGTACATGTAACACAAACGCGCCTTTCCCGAAAGTTTTCATGTGTTCAACAATTATTACCTTTTATCTTGTCTTACGGCTAGAACCGTAGGCCTATTATATCAGGCTTCTAATTCTTTTAGTCCGCATGGTAAGATTGTACACGTTCAGCTTGTAGTACAGGTTCAGCTTGCCACCC